ATATACAATAATAACTGGATTCACACTTATATATTTATTGATATTTAATTATTTTTTAATAAAAATACAGGGTCTATGCAAAAGTTACTAGGTTCCCGGGAACCCAGTAACTATGCTCTACATCCGCCACTGCCTCTAATACAATCCAAAATCGATAAACTTAAAATTCTGAATTTAGGTATCTGTAATTTAACTACTATATACTCCGTTCATCGCAATTTATGTGGCGATTTACGGATTTCGAGAGTCAAACTTTAAAATTTGATAGTGAATTTGGACATATATTCTTTAATTTTTTTCGAATAAAATTTACATATCGGAAAACTATGTAAAAAGTACTATATGTCACAATAATTAACAATTCAAAGTATATAAAACACATGAAAAAATTACGATCAAATAAAAACTCGTTTGACTCTTGAAATTCGAACACCGTCATATAAATTGGGACAGATAAAATATACCGTATAAGAATTTTTTGGAATCTAAACATACTCCCATTTAAAACTTCTAGCCAGTTACATGTGGAAAAAAATTCTGAAGTCACATAAATCCATTTAAATACATTGAGCCTTAAAGATTATAACATGGATGACAATTTTAAAAAAGAAGAAATATTATGTTTTCAACTTAAAATTTTAAGAAGTGCATGTGGACCTCCCCTGAAGCTACATAAGTTTGTCTTTTCAATTATTTGCAATAATAATAATTACATAAATATTTTAAGTGGATTCTAAGAGATGGGTGATTGAGGCATGGGAGATGAGAAAGGAAAATGAAAGGTGAAAATTGAATGGTGCATCTTAAGATATGGTCATATCTCAACTAACTTTCACCAATATTCCTAAAGTAACCTATGGCATCAAACAGAATGAGATTACAGCATTTATTGCATAAATTTTGTTCATACCACCGGACTTTCCGCAATAGGCATTTCCTCTAACCCTGCCACAAAAACGGCAAGGCTTTTGGCCTCTTTTCCCTTGTCTCCTCCGCATCCTTTAAACTTCAATGTTCCAAAATTTTCGAGTAAACAAAAAAGGCTCCTTAATCCATACCATAACAATTACGCCTCCGTCCCAAACAAACTGGGATCGCCAATTTGCAATCCTTACGGATTGTGAGGAAGTTTTATTAAGCACAATGGCGACGATTCCCCAACAATAAATAAGAAAAATTCTCTATTGTAACGGCAATCTCTTCTCCAAGATGGCCAACAAGAGCGAGAAGAAAGGCAACATTTTGATGCAAAGGTATGAGATTGGGAAATTGTTAGGCCAAGGGACATTTGCCAAGGTTTACCATGCAAGAAATCTGAAAACTGGCCAAAGTGTTGCTGTAAAGATCATTGATAAGGAGAAGGTGATGAAAGTTGGCCTAATTGATCAAATCAAACGTGAAATCTCTGTCATGAGGCTAATCAAACACCCAAATGTTGTCCAGCTCTATGAGGTTATGGCTAGCAAAACAAAAATCTATTTCGCCATGGAATATGTGAGAGGTGGTGAACTTTTCAACAAGGTTGCTAAAGGCAGGCTTAAAGAAGATGCAGCTAGAAAATACTTCCAACAATTAATCGCTGCAGTGGATTTCTGTCATAGCCGCGGCGTCTACCACCGTGATCTCAAGCCGGAAAATCTCCTCCTCGACGAAGGTGTGAAGAGCATTTAAAAAGAGCACACTTTTATTTGTTTAATTATGTTCTCAGCACGCACTTTAATTTAATTATGTTTTCAACACGCAATTTTAATTTATAAAAAGGGTAGCCCAGTGCACTAAGCTCCCGTTATGTGTAGGGTCCCGGAAAGGGCCAGAACATAAGGGTCTATGGTACGTAGAGGCGGATCTAGGATTTCTAGTACATGAGTGCACTACTAAAAAAAGGAGAAAAAATGTATTAGGGAATTGATCCCTATACCTCTTGGTAAATAACTCAGCCTTCAACCAAGTGCATCATTCAACCTTCTTGAAATATGAGTGCCAACAGTTAATATTATACCAATTTTAGAAAATATGTACATAAAATATCTAGTTTTACGGAGAGACCATGGGTTCACGTGCTCCATAATTACTCCTATAAATCTGCCCCTGATGGTACGCAGTCTTACCCTGCATTTCTGCAAGAGGTTGTTTTCATTACTCGAACTCGTGATCTCCTGGTCAACATAGCAGTAACTTTACCAGTTACGCCAAGGCTCCTATTTACCACGGACTTTTAATTGCTTTACTTAATTATTTCTTCAACAGGTGGAAACTTGAAAGTATCAGATTTCGGGCTGAGTGCATTGTTAGATTCAAAGAGGCAAGATGGTCTCCTCCACACAACCTGTGGAACACCAGCCTATGTTGCCCCTGAGGTGATCAACAAGAGAGGTTACGATGGCGAAAAAGCTGACATTTGGTCATGTGGAGTTGTTTTATTTGTTTTATTAGCTGGTTATTTACCATTTCATGATCAAAACCTCATGGAAATGTACAAGAAAATAAGTAAAGGGGAATTCAAATGTCCACAATGGTTCCATCCTGAGGTAAGAAAGCTCCTGTCAAGAATTCTTGATCCGAATCCAAGTTCAAGAATCACCTTAACTAAGCTCATGGAGAATTACTGGTTCAAGAAAGGTTTCAAACAAATTGATAAAACCACAAATCCAGGGAAAGAGCAACTCGAATCGCCTCGTAGTGTTTTGGATATTGAGGACCATATTTCAGATGGAGAAGGACCATCCAATCCAAAGAAAGATCAAGATTCAACAACAATGAAACCTACTTGCTTAAATGCATTTGATATCATTTCTCTTTCTCCTGGTTTTGATCTTTCTGGATTATTTGAGAAAGAAAAAGAAAGAAAATCAGATACTCGATTCACGGCGAAAAAACCAGCTTCAATTATTGTATCAAAGCTGGAGGAAGTGGCTTCAAATGAGAGTTTCAATGTGAAGAAAAAAGATGGGACAGTGACAATGCAAAGTATTAAAGAAGGGAGAAAAGGACAGCTAGCCATTGATGCAGAGATTTTTGAGATTACACCTTCTTTCCATGTGGTGGAAGTTTCAAAAAAATCAGGAGATACAATGGAATATAAGAAATTCTTTGATCAGGGATTGAAGACTTCTCTTAAAGATATAGTTTGGACATGGCAAGGTTGTGATCAGCAGCAACAGCAAGTTGATCAAAATCAAGAAAGAAACTGATGATGCATTATCGTTTTGTTCGTTGATAAATATTTTAATTTCTTTCTTGTCTTTTTTTTTTTCCTTTGTTTTTTGGAGGGGAAAAGGAGAAAGGGGATGGGGTTAATTGGAAGTTTCCTGCATATCTTTTCTCTGGTTTTTTCCTTGTTTTGATTGATTTAGATATTTTTTAATGAAGTTGGAAGGCAGCTGCTTCATTAGAGTATATTGTACAGATCTAATAGGGCATACAGATCTGAATTGAATGAAAAGAAAAAATGATGATGAAGCAAATTATCCTTTTACTATCTTTTTCTTCCCTTTTTATTACCTTTTCCTCGCAAGCGTTCTTAATAATAAAGAAAAGTATATTTCATGAAAAGTGTCTTTTATAAAAGCTTTTGAAAGAAATAAGAAGTTTTCTCATTTATATACCATCAAAACATCCCAGCCACCTGAAGGTTATATTTTTCAATATTTCGGATCCTAAACTTACTGACCGACTAATTAGAATTCGCATTATATAAGTAAGTTTATTATAAGGTAAGTCTCTCCTTCATCTTAAAGTTCAAGCTCAAAATTTCTAATTAAGGGCAGAGGAATCTCGACCATCTCATCACATTTGTGGTCCACCTCAAGGTTTTTCCATTTACTACTTGTTGCCCATTCCATTCGCCCCTTCTTCTCTTTTTCTTTCTATAACTTCTTTTTTAGCTCTGAATATTTATCCATCATCATATATGCAAGTATTGCATCATTAGTAAGAAGCTAATTGATGTGCTTAAAACTTAAACCAGTAGTGATGAATTACATGTCAAATGCTGGCAACAATAACAAAAATAGGTTTCATTCTTTTGAATCAGAAAGGTTGGTCAACAATGTTCCATTTGCACACAAAGGAAAGAGACAATTATATAAATTATAAAAGGAAAAGAAGCAGAAAGGGCTCCAATAATTTTAAAAACCAACCATAAGGATACTCACTTTTTAACAAACGGAAAGGACCATAAGATACATACAACAGAGCATAACAGAATAGAGAGTATGCAAGAAGAAAACATAGGAATTGATAAAGCTCAGTCCTTGGATCCCGGATCTTGCCCGTCAAAAGATACTATCCTACTCACAGTGAACCGCATATAAATTCACTCCTATTAAGAGGCAAACAACATATTGATGATTTGATGGTTGGACTACGACATACAATTTGCACAGAGTTGGCTAGAGATATTTTTGTTATTTGTCATGTCAGACCTTCTTTTAGGGTAGTTCCAAAAAGATTAGATACCACTACGAAATATTAAAAGTGGAAAACATAAATTAATAATAATATAACATAGACTTAGCAATAAACTAAAATGTTTTTTGTCTTATCCACTTAACGGAGTTGTTTGGTTCATATGATAATTTGCGCAATATATAATGCAGGAATTATATATGTGAAAAGTAGTAATTCCTAAATTAATGAAAATTGATTCTCCACATACTTTATGTTTACGCTAAGCTAATAAATACACATGTATAATACGTACTTTTATCACAAAGCCATAGTTAAGTGACATAATTCTCACTCTTAACTTTTAACTGCTAATATTAAATTGTTTAGTTTGATGTAAATATTTAGTTCGTCAATATCTCATTCTATTTTTCCCTTCTGTTCTCTCCCTAGTCTGCAATTTCTAAATTAGTGCAAAGTAAAGAATTCTCTAGTGGTCAATGAGATTCGCATATACAAAAGCTAGATACCAATATCCTCACGCAGAAAAATTGACCAGAAAATAGATCCTCTCATCTAACATGGCTGCAGAAATTTGGTGAGAGGCCAAAAAGTTTGATAGCAACAGCCTGCACTAGTCCTGAAACTGCCGTCTCACGACACTAAACAAAGGCTTTCAACCATTCACTACACAGTGGTCCAGAAATATTCTTTTTTGGTATGGTCCAGAAACATTATCACAAAGTTTTTATAATTTAAAAACCGACTTTGACAATTCCTTATGCCATTTTCAATTTTCTTTTTTATTTCTCTGCATAAGTATTACATCCACTAACTTGGCGTGAAGTGCAAATCAGAAGACCTTTATTATTTTGGCTACAACTACTAGTTCCATAGACAGACTACTAATAAACAATTAGACTACGAACCATGTTATGCACTGGCCTGAGTTGAAATGGTTAAATCTTGATCTTGAACATCAACTTGCGACGAAGTGCAATGCAAAAGGGCTAGTTGGCGAGGGTTAGCGCTTGATCCATCCAGCTTGGTATTTGGTTCTGCTTTTTGGTATTCAGGAGTTCTCCGTTCTAGTGGAAGTAGCATTCACCAGTTGTTAGAAGTCCACACTTGCCTACCAGACATGGAACAAACAGAAAAACATTATTGAACTGCATTTTCTGATTAATCAGAGTATGAATGCCAGTCTAGTTTTGTTTGGCATCCCATGATATGATACCAAATCATTAGAACCTGCTGGCCAGTGCAATCACACAGATCTAACACTCATTTCACAATGTCAGGCAATAAGTAAGGACACTAAAAAACATAAAGAGAGATCAAAAAGAAAGAAACAGTTTTTTCTGCTGGAAATTTAATAAACCTAAGCTGCACTAGTTAATAGTTATATTAAGATTCAAAGGGGCTTTGAAGGTTTTTAGGAGATAATAGCAGTTTACCACTTTATATAGCTGCGAGATCGCCAGCAAACAAAGAGGTGTTTTTGGACTGCTTCTTGCTCTTTCCATTTACCCCTTCTCTTTTTCTTTTTTCAAATTCTTCTTTATTTGGTACATTAAAAAAAATTCATGGCACTGCATGTTCATTGATGATTATATATGCAAGTATCACACCAATAGTAAGAAACCAATGTGCCTGAAGAGTCGATTGCATCATCAACAGACAACAATTAAGTGTTTATTCAAAGTACATAACTAGATGCGTCATCAGTTAATTGGCCTATTATTAGTATATGAAAAGCCATTAGTGGCCAAATTCAGGCAACCAGTTGCCGAATATAAATTTAGCAATTACGTCTTTCAGTACGAACCACTACTAAATATTTAATTAATAATACCAGCAGCATAGTGATGAATGACCTGGCCATAATAAGGGAAAATTAAGTTTCATTCTTTTATATGAGAAAGGTTGGTCAACAATGTTCAATTGGCACTACCAAGAAAAAATAGTAGTATAAAAAGGGAAGGAACCAGAAAGGACTAGTCCTCGCTAATTTTAAAACCAACCATACAGCATAATAGAATACAGCATATGCAAGAAATAAACATAAGAATTGACAAAAGATCCGTCCTTAAATCCAGGATATTGCATCATATTCCCATCAGCAAAAGATAATCCCCTACCGGGTGAAACAATAGGACTATAACTAAAGAACCAAGGATAAATGGGTGCTCAGCCTAATATGAGAGATCACCAAAAACCACTTTTTTTATAAGACCTCAACACCCAGAAAGTGCCTCAAAAAGTTAGAACATGCTAGTCAAATTGAAAGTATACTCCTATGCATAATTTCCAAATGCCCCTTATTCCAATTAAATTTTCACACCGCACAAAAGAAATTTTACACCTACTAAAAGCATAATGGCAGAACATGCTTCTCTCTGATTATTTGATTCTTCTTTAGAAATAAAAATCAAGCAATTGCTGTCTATTGACACTATCTCCAGCTATGTCAGTGAACTAAGTGCTTGCCTCTACAGAAACTAATTACTCTAGGAAGAAATCTTACCCAAGATTTTTTGGTTTTTACTCTAGGAAGAAATCTTACCAAGGGAGAACAGAGAGCTGGTTTCTGTAAACCAACAACAGTGTCTTCACTTAAAAGTTTGTCATATTCTCCATATACAGTGTCCTAAAACATTCACGCAAATAAATCCTATCTGGACAAACTGATTCGAAAGAAAATCAATTCTTTTTCAGAATCCCTTTCAGCAGAAGCTCAACAGCTATATTTTTGGTTATAAGTAAACAAATAGTTTTATCCTCCAATTGCGAAAGGAAGAGTTACCTCACTCAAATGTCATTGCCTTAGTTGTTGCCTTCACTTAGACTTGTGGTACTTACACCTATCAAAGGTTAAAGACGGGCATTTGATTTCCCAGCTAGTTTGTAGCTCACAAAACTAGGTTCTTCTTTTTCTTTTTCATCGGAGAAGATCTACTGATATTCAAGTGTAATCAACTGAAAGGGAAACTCCAGATTGACCAAGAAAACTAGCAGGGAAGCTAAAAGCTCAAGTGAACAGCTAATCACAAGCAAACATTTAGTAAGGTTTAGTATAGGAGGTAACATCCTCAAGGAAATCTATAAGAGCCTTAATCCCATTTCCAATCATCAAGGTTCCCCGGCCTTGATTTCTAAACTGGCAATAGTATTAAGAGAAAAAAAAGATTACAATCCATGAATGACTCCCATTTCTATAAGACCAACGCAGACACCAACAATCTAAACAAAAATAAACAAAAAAGCGGTTGATAAACACTTGAACCTTATACTATGTCTGGAATTGTTCATGAATTTCCATAGACCCTTTTTTTTTGCTTGATATGAATTTCCATAGACCTTTGTCCTCTTCTTTTCTCATCATTCTATGAAGTCCATATGTGTTGGGTAAGGATAGAATAACTTTTGAGTAATTAATCAAATATTACCAAAATCTCATTGCAAATATTATCAGAAAATTGCTCATTATTTATAAATGCTTGCTCATTCAATCCAACCATTGACAACTGCCTGATCGCTACTCCTGTTTCTTGTCCATACTAACTAGAGAAAGTTGCACAAAACAAGAGCATTCAAGCATATACCGTCCATAACCAGTGGTACAGAAAAGCTGACCTTATAAGATTGAGAAGCTCGACCTATAATACGCAGCTTCCACAAGCTACAACGAAATTGAGAAGCTCAATCTGTATAAAGCAGCACCTCCACAAGCTACAGACTAGTACAACTACAGATTTGCTCATAGGAATAGTTTACCAAATTCTGAATTTAGCGTCAGAATATTACTAGTAACAGAAAATAAAAGGAAATTGAGAACTGAGCCAATTTTGAGACACTGATGTGTTCCATTTTTTAGATCTTCATATAGTATTCCACAACAAGAACAGAAATTACAAGATTTCACAACCTTAGAACATGAGCTAATAACAGATGCAAAAGTGTAAAGAATACAAAGTGCTATCTATACAAATGCACCTAAAGATATTAAAAGGAAAGAGAAAAGAGCTTACCCTTTTCCCTTCTCTTTCTCTCCCTATTCAGTATCTGATGGCAAATAAGACGAATGGATATGGTCTCCAACTTCAAGCGTTAAATTCTGTAACCCTGGCTTCAATTCCCTGTTGTAAAACTCCTCATACTCCACTCTATCTCCTCCTTTCTTCTTCACCTCAACAACTCTCAGCGATGGCGTCAACTCAAATATCTCAGCTGCAATTGTCAATGGTCCCTTTTCACCCTCTTTAGACCCCTCTAAACTCACTCTACAATCCTTCTTCCTCACCGCAAAGCTCACAACTTTAGCAATTTCCTCCAACTTACTAATGATCTTGGGCACAGGAGCCCCGGATACAAACCTTGCCCCATCTCCTCCTTCTTCAAACAAACCAGATAAATCAAAACCACGAGAAAACGATATGATATCAAATGCATTCAAGCTAGCTGGCCTAGGCAAAGTAGCAGGCTTCCTTCTCATCTCCATTTCAGATTCAGACTCCGATCTATCAGACGAATAATCAACCCCGCCATCATAATCATCATCATTAACACTACACAACTTGTCATCCTCAATATAAAACTTGACATGTTTAAAACCCTTCTTAAACCACCTATTGTTCATAACCTCCTGAATAGTGATCCTAGTTTCAGGATTAGTATCAAGAAGTTGCCTTAAAAACTTAGTCAATTCGGGTGAAAACCATCTAGGACATCTAAATTCACCCTTGTATATCTTCTTATACATAGCCATAATATTCTGATCATGAAATGGCAAATACCCTGCCATTAGCACAAAGAGTATCACCCCACATGACCAAATATCAACTTTGGCTGCATCATAACCCTTTCTAGCTAACACCTCCGGCGCCACGTAAGCCGGGGTACCACAAAAGGTATGAAACAAACCATCTTGCTTTATCTGCTCTGAAATGGCACTAAGGCCAAAGTCAGAAACTTTAACATTCCCATCTTCATCTAACAGTATATTTTCAGGCTTTAGGTCCCTATGGTAAACACCACGAGCATGACAAAAAGCTACAGCAGAGATTAACTGCTGGAAATATTTTCTAGCAACTTCTTCCTTAAGCCTGCCTTTAGCAACCTTATTAAAGAGCTCACCACCTTTAACATACTCCATGACAAAGTAGATTTTGGCCTTTGTGGCCATAACTTCATACAATTGGACTATGTTTGGGTGCCTAACTCTCCTTAAAATTGAGATCTCGCGTTTTATATGATCAATAAGACCAACTTTCAAGATCTTTTCTTTATCAATAACTTTTATAGCAACGCTCTCATTTGTCTTCACATTCCTAGCATGGTACACCTTAGCAAACGTACCGTGCCCTAGTAATTTCCCAATTTCGTATCTACCCAATAAAAGTCCTTGATTTTCCTTTTTGCTCAGACTTTTTGTCGGCGCTAGGTTGCTTCTACTGCTGGTGCTGGTGTCGGCGGCGGTAGTGGTGCCGGCCATGGATTCTCCAAACTTTAACCAAAAATGGGTACTCCAAATTTAGCCCAAAATATTATCAAATGGTGGTTTCCAAATTTGCAACAAAAGGGTAGTTCAAGATTTGCGAAAAATAGGCAAAAGATCAAAAGGGGTAGTTGAAAGTCAGCCTTAAAAATGGGTTTTTAGAGGAGTTTATGCCATTGAAATGGTGGGCTGTCGTGTAGTTGGGAGATGTTGATGTTGTTGTTTGTGTTTTTGAGCTATATTTAGGAGGCTTTGTGTAAAGTAAGAAAAATGATTTGTGTATAGAGCTGTATGTATACTGTAATCTATTTGTTTGTGGGGTTATATTAAAAGGGGTGGGTGGTGAATTCGTATAAGGATTATTTTTAATTTAATGCGTATAAGAATTATTTAACGTTGTGGGGAATCCACCAGCTGGAAATATCATGAAATTAAATTGTCAATTGAGAAAAGGTTTTTTATGTGTAAACACTACAAACCCTTTTTAATTAAAGAAGAAAGAAAAAGAAAAAGACTAATAAAGGAAGACTTCTTTTTTTTCCTTTTCTTTTTTCCCAAAAATGATGCTTGAGTCACGTGACGTTCATGTGATTGCTTTCTACGTGGTTGGAGTTTATTGGTTTTGAAGATACATGGTGTCTATTTCTTTGAAGGAAATTTCGCGATGGATATTGGAATTATTCTATTTTTGGGTCCCAAAGAAAAAGAGTTTTTTTTTTTTGTTTTGTTTCCTTGTTCTGAAAAGGAGTTTTATATTCGTATTTTTGAAAGCTTTTACAGCCACAGAGATTTGTACGATCACGAGATTTTGGTGAATTCTTGAGAATTTTGTTTGGCTATAGATAATATTTTTATATTTATAAAGACTCAACTTTAGCATTTGAAGCTTTTAATACTTTTTTTAACTTTAAATATTGTTATTTTCAACTTCAACCAATTTATGCGTCTCACTTACAATTTTCAACTTTATAAGCATGATTTTATCTTGTGGAGTGAGAGAAAAATCTACCCTTCATGACCGACATGATTTTGAGGACATTGTATCTTAATTTCTTATTTGTTTGATGTATAATTAAACCGAGCTATTTTTTTGTAGCCAAGGACTTTTAAATCCTCCTTTTGTACTTTTCTGTTTAGTGGCTGTCTCTGTCAAATAATAAGCTAACAAGCTAAGTTGGTAGGCAACTATATATAACACATACCTGAAATTAGATTACTAGCTCTTACAATTACCAAAAAAAAAAAAAGAGATTACTAGCTCTTACTGCTTTATTTTCATTTTATGAGGTAAAGTGCGAATTTTACTAAGTTGAATCAATGGTGCTGTTCGACTGACTTACGTCATTTATCAAATTTATTCAATTATTACTTTCAAAAATATGCATAACTAATTAAATCAGATACGTAGAATAAGCATTACTGTATTGGAAATTGGTTTATAATAAGTGGTCGAACGTTAAGATGACAAATAGAGCCGAAGATAGACAAATGGCGAATCGAGAAACAATTAGTACCGAAAGGCTGAGTTTGGAATCATGCTTGTTATCTTCTTTAATTTCAATCACTAAATATTAACTTCAGTCTTATTTTTTTATTGTCTTTAGGGCAAATCGATTCACTTATCTATAAATTACGTTATAAATTTAACTGTACCATTTTACGGGTAACCAATTACTCCATACTACAAAGATGGTAATACTTTTGATAGGCATAAAACGTGGTAAACATGGCTTTGATATGTGTTGAGGTTTTGAAATGAACCCTAATATCTTATCTCGAATTCTTGTCATATTTCTTATTTCAAGATATTTTTTTTGTCAGCTTTCCTCTTATTTATTTAGGTATAAGATATGTCGGCTTTTGACCCTCTTTCGTTTCTTTTCCTTTTCCTTTTTTGTATGGAAACAAAAATATCTCAAGGAAAAAGCAAAATGTCTCATCAAGATTTAGACTTTTCTTTTTTTCTAATCTTCATGATTATGGTAGTAATCAAAATAAAGCCTACTTAGTGCTCTAAATCACACATCTGCATCATTTTCTCCAACTAACAAAATTGTGACAAGTTTCCTTATCTAATAAGTAAAATCACTTTTGCACCTGCATAAAGATGTGGCCGTCTGTTTCTTTTTTAAAATCTTTTTCGTAGGAGGAATAATGAGAGAGAATGAAAATTAGCTTTCTTCTTTTTCCCATCATTTATTTCAGATATACAACATAAGATCAGGAAAGAAAATATTGTTTTATATATTAGTTGTAAACCAAATGATGATTGCTGGTTTAAGCTTCAAGACTGGAAAAAGGCCGAGAAGATGAAAATTTTACGCAAGAAGAAGCTTTAGGAAAAGCATATGATGTAATTAGTTAACCTAGAGAGAAAGATAACCAATTTGATGTAAAGGGAAAAAAAATACCATGATAGCAAAAATTACATAAAGGGTAGTTATAACAATTTAAAGGACAAAATTGTCATTACAATTACTATATAACTGGTCAATGACCAAATTTTGAGATAGGAGACGAAGAATTTTTATCGTCAAGATTGAAGTAAAATAAATATATTAAGTATCTCCCTTTCCTTAAGAGAAAGGAAAGGGGAAATTTCTTTTTAAGTCTTTAGATTTCACTTTCCTTCATAGACTTGAATGTCTTGATAAAATATTTAGGAAACCATCACAATTACATAACATAAGTCAGCATATATATTGCATATTTCTTATCATTTATGGATAGATATTGAATCTTGTATTGGTGGTGTTAGAGGTCGAGTAGCAAGTCAACCTAATGGTCGGTTTGTGGATTGTGATTCAAAGATATATGTATTTCCCTTTCTTCTGACGGATAAGGACATTGAATTTTTATTTTTTAATTCTAGCGAGAGTTTCAATATAAAATCAAATTATAAGGAAATTGTAGCAACATAAAAATGAAATTAAAGTGATTTCTTAATCAAAATAAATATAGGAACCTATATTAATCTAAGTATTCATAATCAAGCCGTTTGGAGAATATTTAGAAACAGTATTTTGAACATTTTCTTAAATGTTTTTGGAAGTTGAAGATGTGCGTCGATAAAGTTTTTTTGGGAGATTTTGTGAACGGAAGTAGAGTTTGAACAAAAAATTGTCTTTGAAAAACCATTTTCAAATCACAATTAATAAAAACAGGTAATGAAAAATTTACTTTGCGAAAAAGAATATTTTAAACAAACATCAATTCAAAAGTTCCTTTTGTAAGTGAAAATTGATGTTCATATGCTACCTAAGATAATTGGTGTAGTAGTCCAAATCATTTGAATGTCTTTATAAATGGTAAACACCCTTTGTCTGCCTATATATGTCAAATGTAGGACATCTTATATTTCCAAGTGTAACTCGATTTGTAGTTTATAAATTTATATGGCGACTTGATAGTTCATTCGCCGGAACTTGCCAATGGTTAACCTTATGTAGTTATATGTTTCCAGAAAAAAGGTACTCTAAGATAATCTTACAGTCTATGTACACAAAATTTTAGTTCCATGTAATATTTATTCATCCTATGAAACAAAAATTTGCTACTAATAAAATGACAAGAATAAATGTACTTAAAATCAAATGCCGTGTAGGAATAAATTTATTAATTTCCACAATCAGAACTTTGACATCAAAGTTCAATTCTTAATCCCAGTTGGTTTCAACGGTCGGTTTGTAGGCCACCTACGTGCAATAAGGTGTCACCCATTTATTTATGCTTATGTATGAAATGCAACTACTGTATTGAACTTTTTTAATAGATGACAAATATTTCCAACTAATGATACAAAAATAAATCATGTTTATTGGACACAGTGTAATAAGAAACAGCTAATTGTGTTTATCATGTAAAATGAACGCGTAAACATAATAGCTAAAAGACACTTCGTTGTTGCTTCCGTAGAATAGATAGGACTACTTTCTTGTTTTAAGGAGTACTTGTTGTACCTGTTTTTGTTTAGATTAGGTGTCTATGAAACGAGATCCTGTCATACATGGGGCGAAACTCTTCTAGTCATTCTTTTTTTTATATATATTATTAAACATGCGGTTTAGCTATAGTGTATGTTTTATTCTTTATGCAATAATAGTTTATTTAATTTTTCAAATTCAATAAAGTATTATTTTAAATAAATCATTTGTTATATGTATGTCCTTTAATTATGTAGTAGACGATTTAGTGTATGGAGTCTTAACTTATGCACGAAAATTAAATTGTCGGTTTTCATAATTAATAAATTATGTTCACAATCGAAGATATTGTTGGGCAAAATATCTTGATGATTGTAGCACAATTAAAGTATAATTTATCTTGATTATGGAGTGGTTTTACGCCAACTTCTTGTGCTAGTATACTTAGTGTCACACCTCCTTTTTCCGCACCCGGGAGGGTACAAGGGAGTTTTTTCCAATTAAAGGACAA